CTTCAGATCTGGTACCAAATGGTCGAAATGTAGGTTATGGTAATCATCTTCCGGTGGATGCAATGTCAAGGTTAGGTCGGGATACTGTACCTCTACCTCCAGATGCTACCAATACTCTATATGTTGAGGGACTTCCTTCTGACAGCACAAGGAGGGAAGTAGCTCGTATCCTATTTAATGATGTAATACTTGATAAGATGTTGATGCCTAACTCTTATCTTATGGTACCATATTTTAGCTCTATTACCTTGTTTCTGTCTACTCTATCAGTTGACACTCCTTGACTGTGGCTTTAGATATCTTTCGCCCTTTTGTGGGATATAAAGAAGTACGACTAGTGAGCAAAGATTTTCGACATGTGAGTGACTAGCCATTGTCTAACATCTAATTTGTCTCCTGTAGCATGACTTCCTTCGTGTTTTCTTGCATGTGAAATTCTCATTGACTATTTCATTGAATGCTAAAACCTGATACATTGGCAATGCAGCGTGGTGGAGATCCTCTTATCCTTTGTTTTGTTGATTTTTCAAGTCCTGCCTGTGCAGCAACTGCAATGAGTGCCTTGCAAGGTGATCTTTTCTTCTTTTAATCTTGACATTCATAGAATCTAGCTCAACAGTGGAAAATGATACATGGTTTGTTCTCTAAAAAACCGATAGGAAACAATATTTAACTCTTTAAATGGTATTGGTGAACTGGAGCATTTGGCTCGAGCGGTAAGTGTATATATCTCCTGCCCAAAGAGTAGAGTTTGAGTTCCCCATCCATCCAATTCAAAAAGAAAAAAAATGAAGAAAAATGAGAAAGGTAGCATTTTTATACTATGCTAATTTTCTTCTATGCCTTGCCTTCTAGCTTCTGTGGGTTTGGGTATGTGTTTTCTTTCTTGACATGCATGAATGATTATAGAAGGATGTGAGCCTTATAGAGGCAGAAATATGCATGCTCAACCGTTTTTCTCCAGAATGAGTGCTACAAAGTGAACAAGAAATTTGAACTTAACATTCCATTAATTGAGTCCATCACATTGGCTGACAGGTGGATGTGTTAATGCTTTCTCAAGTTCCCAATTTGAGTTTATTGTTGAAATGTGCAGGTTATAAAATTGATGAACACGATCCTGATTCTAAATACTTGAGACTTCAGTTTTCCGGCACCCAGGCCCAAGGTCAGGTCCTGGAGCTCGTGGAAGGTGAATGTCACATTCTGGAGACAACTAGGCTGTATGCAAGTCATGTTTAAGCCAATTTTTATGGCTCACATCTTTTCTATATATGGCTGGGTTATGAGGAGTGATCACATTAATTGGATAGTATATTTTGTTACTTGCAACCTAAATTGCTGAATCCAGCTAATTGTTTGCACTAGAGAAACGCAGAAATTTAGGAGACGTAGGATCCAGAAATTCTTGAATTGCTGCACATTCCAGGAAGCTGTGTTGTACAATAACTAAAAGATTGGTTTTTGTGGTATAGATCGTAGTAGCATTTTATTTTAGTGTTCAAATAGGGGAATAAATGTTTTTCGCATCAAGTGCTTGGATAGCCAAAAACTGCTGTGTTTTAGTGATGTAATCGTACGGTTAATGTTTAGTTTGTGAATGGAAATAATTATGTCCATTGCGATATTTGTTTTAGATACTTTTCTAAGTTTAGTTTGTAAATCACTCGGGTTTTAAATTCCTATACTGTTTCGTTTAAATAACCTGATCTCTTTAACCCGATTGCTTGCAATTGGTAGGAGCGGCGGGTCTGAATTCTTCTGGCTGCTCATATTTATGTATCGTATTAATGATTTTTTTTCTTCCTCGTTTTGAGTTAATTGCACCAATCGTCCCCCAACCGCGACTTTGATTCTATATTAGTCTCTATTTTAAAATGTTCTAATTAGACCCTATATTATCAGATCAGCCTATATAGATCCTTTTGTTATTAAAACCGTTAATCTAATCAATAAACATCACATCAGGTTTGATGTGTACTCTTAATGTAATCTAATCTAATGTGGCTGGCTTTTTGTAGCCAATGAAAATCCTACTCATGAATTAAGAGAAATCCATACTTATTTTTATTATTATCCATGTTATTTTAATTTTTTAATTGTAAAACAACTGAATCTATCAAAACTTCTCCCATATCGATTACGTTTTCAGTCACATGGCCATTGATCATCGTGAATTGACATCGTCGGTGGGGTTCTTCGGTTAAAAACAACTCTAAAATGACCGTGTCTCTTGCTTAAATATGAACGTGCCTTAAGTTTTATTTTTTAATTTGATATATTCTTCCCTGAATCTAAAATTAAAAAGTAAACTTACGGCCCATGCTTATTCTGAGTGCAAATGAAATGATTGCACATCGTTAATAAAGTTTTCTTGTTAGAGTAGGATAAGGTTGGTCAACAGTTTCTGATATAGAGTTTCAAAGGTGGTTATAAAGTTGAGAAGTGTATATAAACCTGACAAGTCTTTGTTAATAAAGTATTCTGCTTCCGAGGTATTTTTCACAAGATCATTCTATATCTTTCATTTCTGCCAATCAATCAAAAGGCACTTCTCTGCCTAGGAAATTTCGTATGAATATCAAATTGCTCCAGCCATTTTCCTTTTTACACCGTCCGCAAGTAAGAAAGTTTCATTAGCAAAAAAAAGACAAAATCACGAATCACCATTTTCTGTCTATTTCGTGTAGTAAGTATACAGCATAGTCTTACTAAAACTCTTTTTCCCTCAATTTTGTAAGACCTCTATAACCATCTGACAAAGAAATCTTCAAAATGTGTCATGTCAATTAGGCAGCCTCTCCTTGGATACAAAAAATCTTTTGTTCCCATTCACTTCTTCCACGTTTTCCTGTGTGACAGACTTAATTAGAGACAGAATTCCAGCTCAACTTAAAAAGGATAAAATGATTTCCTCCTACCTTAACTTCTTCAAAAAGTGTCTCGAGCTGAGCTGTTATCTCAGAGAAGGAAGGCCGCTGGTCGGGAGCCGCTTCCCAACATCTCTGCATCAACTCCAAGAGTTTTGGATGCGCATTCTCGGGAAGATCTGGACGCAGTCCCTGAAATGAAATAACAACAAACATTAGTATTTTTTTGCCAAGGCTAACCACCCTTTCGCATGGTGGCTTCGTAGACTCCCCGAGGAAAATAACAAGCTTTTGCACTAATAAAAATCCAAATTCGTGCCTATTTTCATTTGTATGCAATGTAGGAATCTGTCTATCTTTTGGCAGAATTATCAGACACTTGAAATGATTTACGAGGAATTGATGTTTTATCATTCCCAGGTCATATGCTTTAATGTTAGAACATCAATATTTTGGAACACTAACAAATTTAAAGTTCTCAAATTACACTCCATGGCTCTTATAAGTTATAATTGATCCGTTTCTAAGTGTGCCCAAACATATGAAACGATTAACTTTGTACCACAAATAGTAGACTATGATATAGTTGAGGTTACTATTTAACTCCATAAATAGAAGAAAACCAGACCTGTCTCACTCCCAAGGCAGCTTGCAATGGAGTCATGGTATCATATGGAACCTGCATCAACAAGGCAAATAATTTTCAAAAGTGTTAACTTCCACTCGCTTTAGCATACAATTGTTCTTAAAGTTTCTTCCATTTCGGGAAATACCTTGCCAGTCACTAGCTCCCAGAGTACAATAGCAAAACTGAACACATCTGCTTTCTGATCATATGGCTGGTGGTTTATAACCTTGTAGGAGTAATAAAGATGAAAAAAATAAGTTGAACACAGTGACAGTCAATGTACACGGCAAGTAATGACCAAATCATTAACCTACACCTTGTAACATCCCAAAATACGGGTTAGTGACTAAATTGTAAAACTTCAGAATGTGTTGATTAAAGTAAGATATTTGAATAGTGTAATGATTTGTTCGGAAATATTTCCTGAAAAGAATTAGTAATTATCAAAGGAATTAAGGGGCAAAATTGTCATTTAACATGAAAGATATTTTGTTATCTCTTTATGAAGAGATAAACGTTGGGGGAGAGTATTTAGAAAACTCTTCTTCTTCTTACCTTCTTCTTCTCCAACGTGCAGAGCATAAGGTGAGTTTTCTATTTGTTGCTTATTTGTTAAATTGAAGATTAGGTTTTGATCATTAGATAATAACTAAGTTTAAGGAAAGCTTAAGTTGTCTTATAATCAAAAGATGAAGAAGTTATAAGAGATTTAAGAAAACGAGTTTTTATATGAAATCATGGAATAGAGTTGATAAGTTGAATTTTAAGTTGAATTTGACTTGTCATCTATGAGAATAAGAAGATAGAAGTGTTAGAATTGTATTTAGAACATATTGAAATTTGAGTATGATTATTGAGTTACATATGAAGGATAGAATTTTGAAGTTATAGATGATTTTCATGGATATAAGTTGGTTTAAGTAATGGTAGTTGAGTTTAATGACATGGTAGGGGTTTAAAATAGAAGAATTAAGTGAAGAATTGGTGATTTTCGGGGTTAAAATACAATTTCTGGGTAGAGAGAACCGATACCCTATGAAGGGAATCGATTCCCCCTCTTGGACGAAAATTCCAGTATGTGTAGGGGGAACAGATTCCCCCTGGGGGATATCGATTCCCCTGGAACAGATTCCCCCTGGGGGGTATCGATTCCCCCCTAAATAAAAAAATGGAATTTGATTTATTAAACCGGTTTAAGTTATTAACATCAAGTTTAAAGTTTAGGCTTATGATAGTTGTTTTGAAATGATATATTTATGTAGATATTGAGCCTAAACAAGTTCCGGAATAATCAAAGGATTATAATCGAATCAAAGCAAGGCTAAGGTGAGTGCAATTTTAATTGTACTTATATTATTGAACGAACATTGGCTTGCGATGAGCCAATGATGGAGTTACTACGGTAAGAAGTGACTCCTAAAATGTTATTTGATATGTGATTCTTATATGTACATGAATACATGATATGCATAAACATAAGAGCATGAAACATAAGATATATGATATGATATACATGATTATATGCATATGTGATATATGCTATTAGATATGACCAATGTGAAATGAAATAAGCTATGTGAATATATGAAATGACATATGAATATGCATATGTGATATGATAGTATGGTTACACATACATGTGGTATGTGACAGAAGAGAAAGAATAAGTGATGAGAAATATATTCATAATAAATGCCCATAGTATATGATACGAAAGCTATAGGTATAGTTGGCATGCCAAGAGTCGAGGGTATTGTAGTCTTTCGGGACGTAGTGGTCGTACGGGACATATATAACAGTCCTTCGGGACGAATACTGAACAAATGTTCGGTGCCCCATGAGGGAATTTATACGAGCTGTGGTGACAGCATTAGTGCACAACCTCAATATACTCACATACCTCTATTCTCAATAATATACATGGGCAACAACAACAACAGCAATTGAAATATAAATTAAAGTGAAAGTGATGCAAAAAGGTAAGTTTCATGTGTGCATGACTTGATTATATATGTCATAGGAAATATATCCATGCATATTGAAATATCATGATCAAATAGTAAGAATGCATATTCATGAATCTACTGTTACATGTTTATTTATTGCCTCACTAAGTCTATGACTTAGCGTGTAAATGATTTACACGTAGCTACCAAGAAACGTGAAGAGCAAGAATAGAAGTGGCAACGACAGTGTTATTACTAGAAGATCAGATCAGAAGTAATTGACAAAGTATGTATTTTGTTGTGTATATAGTGTTGGCATGTAATAAGTCATTAATTACGAGTACTCTGATGGAGTTTGTATTTTGTGGTCATTTTTTTGTAGATTTAACGTATTTTGCTTTAAACAAAGTTTTAAATTTCTCTGTTTTTAAAAAGAGTCAAAGTTTGAAAAGTCAATGTGACACCTCAGACTCGTATTCGGGTCGGGTACGGGTTGGGGTGTTACATTTAATGGCATCAGAGCTAAGATTTAGTCGATTCTCGGCATAAACCGGAGTCTAGAGTGTTTTATAAGGTATACATGCCAACAAAATAGTGAAAACTTCTGATCTGATGGAATAGTAAGTGTATTGTCTTGCTAATAGAATTAAAATATTATGTTATATTAGATATATGATCATAAGGGTTTCTAAAGTGATATACAAGGTGATAGACCTGAAGGTAATAGCATTCACCTGCTCTGGCCATGCAGGGAAAAGAGCGAAAATCTCAGGGAATGCTTGTATAAGATTAGAGAGTGATTCATGATGTTGAATGATATTATGATGTGTTTTAATTTTATACTTCTATAATTCATAGAATTAATGTATTGAAAAGAGTTGAGAACATCTAAGTTTAAGGGTGAATTTGAGAAATGTTCCATTGTTATGGAAATTTGATTAAATGATAGGAAGATAATATTAGAAAATTTTCATTTCTCCAAAGTGGAGAAGTTAAATTGAGTAGTTTTATTACTACGTAGGTAAGCTAGAAGTATGGTGAATAAATGTCACCATAAGAATGTTAAAATATCAAGTGACGTGGTTATCATTTGTAGAAGAATTTATGAATAAGTACATGAATGATCAGTTCATAAAACAAATGAAGATCGAATATATGAGATTAACAAAGAAGTTACACATGCATGTGTATGAGTATAAGTTTAATAAGTTAAACAAAATTTATTGTTGTGTTAATTTTGATTAGGAAGGATAAGGAAGAACATGTGATTGATTGATTAGGGCTTGTGCCTTAAATTAAAAGAGTGTTATTGGTTTTGAAATTGTTCTCAATTCAAGAAATGATTAATCGCGTTAAAATTCTATAGAGAGCTAAGAATAAAATGATTGGAGAACAAAAATTTCAGATGATTAAGAGAATTAGTGTTTAATAGAGTTAAGCACCATTAAAGAAAGATAGAGATTCTAGCTTTCAACTTCAAACCAGATATGAATTAGTTGCATTCTCCGCCAGAGAATCAAATCAGATGAGAGTCAGACAGACTAAAGCGGTAGGGCCTGATATTTGAATATTAAATAAGGAGTTAATTGATGATAAGTCAGGGTTAAAGACAATCTTTGTGAATTGGGTTAAAAGCTCTGTTAGAAGTTATGAAAATTGAAGAAAAAAAAATTATTTTAAAGGGATATAAATAAGTTTAAGTATGTGTATGTGAGATAAGGATTTGAATGTTTAAGAGAAGATATAGAGTAATAGAAAAGTTTGAGAATGAGTAAGTCGGTGAACAATTTATAAGATAAAGGAAGTTATAATGTTCGATTTTAATCAGAGAAATAATATTGCGTTTGAGTAAAAGTCCAAGTTTGAAAAGTTGAGTAAGATATCATTGGAATATATATATATATATATATAATAATTTGATTGAAAATATGGTATATGATTGAGTGGATAAGGGTTGTACCCTAGATTAAAAATTAAAGATTTCGTTTAAAAAAATTAAGGTGCTATTAAATAATGTTAAAGGATATCCACTATTATAAAGTGGAGAATTTAGATGAGATAATTTAATTGCTATGCAGTTGAGCTAAAATATGGTAAATAAATGTTGTAATGGGAATAATGGAAGATTTATTGATGTGAATATTGTTTCGGAAAAAGTTTAAGAAATAGATATGTCAGTAATTATTTTATAAGATGGAAGATGTTGAAATATTGAGAGTGAACAAATAAAATTTCATGATACATGAGAATGAATGTGGATTTGATAAGTTAAGTAAACAATTGTTGAGATAATTCTGATTGGAAGAAAATATAAAGTGAATTAATCAAGTATGATATGGATTTGAATATGGTTAGGTATTTGGATCATATATATATGATTAAGGCAATGAGAAGAGTATTTACAGGTTTTAAAAGGCGCTTTGAGAAATAAAAATAATGCAAGTATAAGAAAGGATAAAGAATAAAGTTATGTGAAAATAATGTTAAATATTATGGTTATGAAAATGTGATAAATATTAGTAATCAAATATAAGTATAAGTGTTATTATGATGTTTTTCATATAGATATGAAAAACGTAATGGAGTAAAAAAAATGAATGAAATGATTTAGATTGCAAGGAGATTTTGATTTGTGAAGGAATAAAGAGATAAGGAAATTAAATGATAGAGTTTAAAGGTTTAAGAATGAAAAGGGTTATGATAAGGTGTAAAGTATAAGTTTGGTATAAAAGTAAGAATTTTTCAATTCTAAGTGAAAAGGATAAAGAGTTATGAATTTTGTATCAGAATTTCAGTAGAGACTAAATTCGGAGGTTTATGAAGAAACTGATTAAGTTAGTATCCTTTATCATACTAAGGTAAATATTTCTTGGATAAGTATGTAAGGTTATATGAAAAGATTGTTGGATTTTGTAAATTGCATGTCTTAATTATATCTGATGAAGATTTAAGATTATCTCAAAGTTGTGGAAATCTTTGAAAAGGTCTTAGGAATTTAAATTAATTGTAGCATTGATATCTATGCATAGAAAAATAATGAGTTTAACAGATTATTCATACTTTAAAAAGGGTATGTATGATTGAGTTTAAAGAATCATGGGAAAATTATTTACCTTTAGTAGAATTTGTCTATAATAATAATTATCAATTGAGCATTAAGATGACTCTGTATGAAGTTTTATTTGGGAGAAAATATCGGACATCATTAATTTGGTTCAAGTTAAAGGATCAGAATTTTATTTTCCAGGATTTATTGAAAGTGATTGAGGATAAAGTAAAGATAGTTTAAGATAATTTCAAGATGACATCTAATCGACAGAAGTATTAGGCAGACTTGAGACAGAAATAAATTGAATTTTATGAAGAAGATAACGTTTTCTTAAAGTATCGTATTAGAAAAAAAAATTAATTATGCAAAGGGGAGCATATAATAGAGTTTAAAAGAGCGGAAAAAGAATGTCAGACTAAGTTAACCATGTGTAACATGTATTGGTTTAAGGTTGTGTTTCTTAGCCATGTAAATATAGTAAAAGAGATAAGGATTTATTTATATGTATGAAGGAAACTTGAGATATATTTGAATGATAGTATTCTCTCTAATCAAGTTGTTAAAGATAAGTATGTTACTTTTGAGATGAAAAAAAAGAGTATTGACATCAATTTCAAGATTGATATGAGTAAAATTTAGAAAGAAAGGTGTATAATAATTTGGATGAAGATGGTATAAGAATAAATGTTTGGTTTATGTTGTAAGTCATTAGAGATTGATGAAAGAAATCAACGGACTCATTATGTTGAGTGATAAGGAATGAGATTACCGTATGGATGGAACCTTATTATTTCCATGATGAGTAACATTATATTTATACGAATTTATAAAGATTAAAAGGTGTAGAATCGAATGAGTGAAAAGATAGAAATGAATGTAATTCCTTGTTGATTGAAAATAAGTTTAGTAATTGCAACCACGAAGTGAAAGTTAAAGATTTAAAGTCGGATAATGTTGTCATAGGAAGAGTTATTATTGAGTTTGTTTAATGAGTAGTGGGTTTGCAAGTAAAGAAATATATCAAAATAGTTTTTTTTGTGACATTGCTGGAAACTATTAAGTTAGTTGAATAGAAATATTGAGATTTTGTATGGACGGATTGGATCAAAGAAGTTGAAGAAAAGTGGAAAAAAAAAATAAGATAGCGGATAGTTAACAGAAGTTCTATATATATTTAAAGAAAAAAAATGAAATTTCTAGATAAGTGATAAAGTATTTATTAATGTCTTGTTATGAATAAGATTCTCTGTATAGTATAGCTCAGTCCTACATTCATTAGACCTTATGGATCTTTAAAAGAGGTGGATTTGTAGTATAATATGGAAGTGCAAATATGATATAAGTAGACAGTTCCCATATATTTGTACAGTGAAAATTCGAGGACGAATTTTCTTAAGGGGGAGAGATTTGTAACATTCTAAAATACGGGTTAGTGACTAAATTGTAAAACTTCATAATGTGTTGATTAAAGTAAGATATTTGAATAGTGTAATGATTTGTTCGGAAATATTTCCTGAAAATAATTAGTAATTATCAAAGGAATTAAGGGGCAAAATGGTCATTTAACATGAAAGATATTTTGTTATCTCTTTATGAAGAGATAAACGTTGGGGGAGAGTATTTAGAAAACTCTTCTTCTTCTTACCTTCTTCTTCTCCAACGTGCAGAGCATAAGGTGAGTTTTCTATTTGTTGGTTATTTGTTAAATTGAAGATTAGGTTTTGATCATTAGATGATAACTAAGCTTAAGGAAAGCTTAAGTTGTCTTATAATCAAAAGATGAAGAAGTTATAAGAGATTTAAGAAAACGAGTTTTTATATGAAATCATGGAATAGAGTTGATAAGTTGAATTTTAAGTTGAATTTGACTTGTTATCTATGAGTTAAGAAGATAGAAGTGTTAGAATTGTATTTAGAACATATTGAAATTTGAGTATGATTCTTGAATTACATATGAAGGATAGGATTTTGAAGTTATAGATGATTTTCATGGATATAAGTTGGTTTAAGTAATGGTAGTTGAGTTTAATGACATGATAGGGGTTTAAAATAGAAGAATTAAGTGAATAATTGATGATTTTCGGGGTTAAAATATAATTTCTGGGTAGAGGGAACCGATACCCTATGAAGGGAATCGATTCCCCCTCTTGGACGAAAATTCCAGTATGTGCAGGGGAAACAGATTCCCCCCTGGGGGATATCAATTCCCCGAGAACAGATTCCCCCTGGGGGGTATCGATTCCCCCTAAATGAAAAAATGGAATTTGATTCATTAAACCGGTTTAAGTTATTAACATCAAGTTTAAAGTTTAAGCTTATGATAGTTGTTTTAAAATGATATATTTATGTAGATATTGAGCCTAAACAAGTTCCGGAATAATCAAAGGATTATAATCGAATCAAAGCAAGGCTAAGGTGAGTGCAATTTTAATTGTACTTATATTATTGAACGAACATTGGCTTGCGATGAGCCAATGATGGAGTTACTACGGTAAGAAGTGACTCCTAAAATGTTATTTGATATGTGATTCTTATATGTACATGAATACATGATATGCATAAACATAAGAGCATGAAACATAAGATATATGATATGATATACATGATTATATGCATATGTGATATATGCTATGAGATATGACCAATGTGAAATGAAATAAGCTATGTGAATATATGAAATGACATATGAATATGCAATATGTGATATGATATGAAATATATGGTTACACATACATGTGGTATGTGACAGAAGAGAAAGAATAAGTGATGAGAAATATATTCATAATAAATGCCCATAGTATATGATACGTGAGCTATAGGTATAGTTGGCATGCCAAGAGTCGAGGGTATTGTAGTCCTTCGGGACGTAGTGGTCGTACGGGACATATATAGCAGTCCTTCGGGATGAATACTGAACAAATGTTTGGTGCCCCATGAGGGAATTTATACGAGCTGTGGTGACAGCATTAGTGCACAACCTTAATGTACTCATACCTCTATTCTCAATAATATACATGGGCAACAACAACAACAGCAATTGAAATATAAATTAAAGTGAAAGTGATGCAAAAAGGTAAGTTTCATGTGTGCATGACTTGATTATATATGTCATAGGAAATATATCCATGCATATTGAAATATCATGATCAAATAGTAAGAATGCATATTCATGAATCTACTGTTACATGTTTATTTATTGCCTCACTAAGTCTATGACTTAGCGTATAAGTGATTTACACGTAGGTACCAAGAAACGTGAAGAGCAAGAATAGAAGTGGCAAGGACAGGTATTATTACTAGAAGATCAGATCAGAAGTAATTGACAAAGTATGTATTTTATTGTGTATAGAGTGTTGGCATGTAATAAGTCATTAATTACGAGTACTCTGATGGAGTTTGTATTTTGTGGTCATTTTTTTTGTAGATTAACGTATTTTGCTTTAAACAAAGTTTTAAATTTCTCTTTTTTTCAAAAGAGTCAGTTTGAAAAGTCAATGTGACACCTCAGACTCGTATTCGGGTCGGATACGGGTTGGGGTGTTACACACCTACTTACATTTTAGGCAGGAAATGTGAGGAAGGGACAATGTATCCAAACATTAGAGAGATTACGAACAAACAGAAGTTATAGGTAATTTCCAGTAATGACTAAGGAAGTTCCCATCGGACTCATAAAATATAAACCAACTTTTGAAACAATTAAAGGGAGGCTACAACAGTACCTCAGTCTATGGAACAAAAAATAAAGAAATAAACATGAGAGATTCACACCTCAGGTGCCATCCATCTATATGTCCCTGTCTCAGCTGTCATTACTCCTCCTTGGTTCTGGAACCGAGCCACACCAAAATCTGCCACCTTAACAACCTTTAGAGAAAACACAACTCGTCAGTAATCAATACACATTACAGCCCGCTTTCTTAGCCATCTACCTGATTAACTGTAGAAACTTCATTGCTAGGAGTACATTAATACGTATAGCATCACAGATAGATCAAGTAACAAGAAGCACTGCAAGGACTTCTGCTAATTCGGTAATAAAAATTACTAAAAGAAACTATATATCGATTTCTAGAAACTTCATTGCCAATATTGCTGGCTTGATTCATTACAACTTCCATATTAGGTCAGATAGTCTACCTAGCAACCTCTCTTGTAGGAAAACCTCAGAAGGGCAGACAGTATTAACACAATGAATAAGTATTTTTGAAAAATCAAGGAAGGGCTAAAAGTAATTCAAGACACAACCCCAATCTGCAATTTTACCAGAAAAAGGTATGGGTTTTTGGCAAATTCTATTCACTAGCCTTGGTAAGCAAATTGATTAAATTAGTTTACTATCTTTCATGCATGTTCTACCCTTTTTAACAACTTATCCGAGGGGAAATCCCCTCTTACACATTTCAAGGTTCTGGTTTATAACTTATTTTTCAGTCATGTTGTCGAACACCTAGAACAATTTAATTGTTAGAAATCAAATAAACTATTTCCCTTAAGCACGCTTACATCAATATTAAAAGAAAATATCTTACATTGTCTGTATCCATCAGCAAATTTGCTGTCTTCAGGTCCCGATGAATTATGTGCTCTTGATGCAAATATTCCATGCCTTTGCAGACATCAACTGCAAACTTCAGCAGCTGAGCGAGCTTCAACACATTATGATTCTTATGCAAATAGTCATACAGGCTTCCCCCAGGCATATATTCTGCAAATAATAATGTGAACTGTGAAATGAGAATATTTTTTAAAAAATATATGTGAAATGAAACAGTCAGTGAAGGGTGGGTGCTCCAGAGAAGGGGATGGGAATCCCCCAGTTACTATCAACTTCATAAATTCATTTAGTTCTAGTGCCGATTTAAGGCCATGCACTGAAAGATCTTCAGACAGCTCCAGAATGAAAACAGAAAACTACTTTAATCAAAGAGGCTTTTAATTTTTAGACGGAACATACCTGTTACTATGTACAAATGTGGAGATTTTGTACATGCACCAATGAAACGAACAACATTTTTATGTTGGACCTCTCTACACTCAAGAACACACAAAAAATCAATATCCATATAATTGTGTTCCTACATAAATACAAATACAGAAACACACCAACCATATCTTACGTAAGAAATTAGCTAGTCAATTATTGGTTAGACAAAAATTAAATTTTATTAGCTTGAAGAACGAGTTTATCCTCAATAAAATTAAAATCAAATATGAAGTAAAGAGAGAAAAATTCTTATCCAAAAAAATTTGATGTAAAGAGAAAGCAGTCTGTTTTTTAGCGCATAAGAAAGAGATGAATATATAGGAGTGTATTTTGCTGAAGTGGTTCATAAAGGGTAAAACATATTGTTATACATTCGTCATTAAGAGAATGCTACCTAAATTTACATTTTCCTTTAAAGGAAACTAACAAAATTTTCTAACATATCGAGCAATACATAATTAGTTCAAGGTAGATTCTAGACAAAGACAAAGCTATTTCAACGACTTGATAACAGAGTTTCAACTTGTTTCTACACCAATAGCTTATTATGGTAAAGAGGGTGTCAGACAATAGTCAAATCATGTGGGACAGTGAACCTTCACTGACACCTTAACATGAAAACATAAAGTGTTCACGAATTCAACTATTCTTTCGTTTCACGTCCTTTTTTTTTTTTTTTTTTTTGAGTAGGTGACTGGGTGTTGGAGACGAGGGATTATTGAACAAAATACACAGGGAGTAAACAGCAGAAAACTAAAGATTGTTGCAAAGACAATGAGAGCCATTACAAAACTTTAAAGTAACAGGTAAGCGCTTCTCACCTTAGAACTGTCACTTCTTGAGTAAACTCATCTTCCATAGCATCATTCAAATGCTCAGACCTAAGAATTTTGACAGCAACATCTTGCCCAAGGTAGATACCATGATACCTTCAGATGATCAGAAGAAACTTGATCAACCAAGGAAACTACAGAATAGAAAATATCCCAAAGTAAGTTCAAAAGGGTACAACTTACAGGTCTCCACAAGATCCAGAAGAAATTCTTTCTCCTATCTTCAGAAGCCTTCTATCTATCTCCCAATTTCCAGATTTTTCTTGTGCTGTTAATGCATCACCTATAGCTGAATGAGAATGCAAAGATCCAGACAACGACCCCTACATTTCCAAATGATCATAAGCTGAATTATCTTTTTGACATTCATTTATAATTTACTTGAATAAGTCATCATGCAAATAAAATGTGCAGGCAGCATATGTTATGAGAGATCCATCAGAATCCAACAAGAGGAAAATAGTTACAGACGAAGACAATGAATTCAACAAATTCAAAGTATTTTAGGGGGTTAAAAACAAAATTATACTCTGCTCAATCAATTATAAGAATAGAAACTAACATACAAATTATTTGCCAAATGCACAAATCTTGTTAGGGAAAGATCAAGAGCATCAAAGCATTGTGAAGAACTCTTCACTGTTCTTTTATGAACCACTCAAACTTCCAAATAGAAGAAGAAAGTCCCAAATCTTTCAAAAGTTTAGTAAAAATAACTAGTTTTATCATGTCAAAAGACATTGTAAAAACTACAACCCTGTAGTAGGAAACAAACTGAAAGGCCATTAACAGAATTCACAGGAACAACGTTTACCTTGCTTCTAGAAACAGCTTCTTCCATAGCTTTATATAACCCATCTGTATCCTGACCACAACATTGCAAAGTCAGCAACAATCGGACTCAGCAGAGATCCCTGTCATAAAAGAAATACAATCACAATGCTCCTTAATACATTGCAAGGCTACTATCTGGGGATAAACTGTATGTTGATTAATTTAACCACTTGATAAATTTTAATATGAAAGAAGCGTCAATCTTGTGGATTTTGGATTTATGGTCAAATGTACAAGTCATATTACAGAATTAGACACACAGACAGAAAAAAAGAACAGTTCAAGGTAGGATGAAATAGAACATTTAAAGAAACAGTGCCCCTGAGAATACCAGAAGATACAGTATCTCATTTAAAGCATCTAATATGAGGATACAAAGATGTAATAACAACAAAACATCTAATGAAGTAATGTTTACCTCATCAGGCCATCCATCCACCACAAACACATCCAAAGAGTAGCCATCGGTCGTTGAGAACACATGTGCTTCACGGATATTAAGCCCTATATCTGAAAGCAATGCAGAAAGCTAGAAGGCAACAGCAGATGGTCAGTATTTCAGAATTCAGATACTACTAGATTGACGAGATAAATGATGATGCTGGAAAGCCCCATAAGCTTCTCAAGTATAACTCAAGAATATATTCCAAAAGTAATTGTAGCACAAATTTCAACATTGTCCACCAAAGATGAATTATTGCTCTACTGGTTCAAAAAAGATTTTAAACACCATATATTTTGATCGGCATGATAAAGTTATTGATAAGTAAACCTTTAAATTTACTATTAGAAAAAACTAATCATTGGCTCAAAAAGAAGAGAATAAATTGTTATCAAACATACCTGACTAAGCAGCTTTGGCCTATCAGTGGTAGAAAATATCACTTCATGAATTGGAATGTGTACAATCTCTTGCCTGCGTAACATTTACCAAAAGCCAACAAAAGTATGGCAATCCAAGACAAAGACTGATATAACAAAGCTGCATTTAAGCCTAATTCTAATGTGTGCCTTCTGAATGGGTATAAACGTAAGCTAAACATGCATACATAAAATATACCTACATTGCTGTAGAAAATTTCTGATTCAATTGTCAATGCAGAGTGGGGAAAGAGAAAGAGATTGAGACAATGTTCATCAATAGAAAAATAAAAATGTTCCCAAATGAAACTCTCCAGACTAATTATGTATAGCTAGGTGATACTATAACCATCTAGATAACTAGAAAGCAACTATAATAATACCCTTAAGACAAAAGCTTCAGTACAGTAAAGACCTGCAGTCAAGATTTACCAATGATAACAATCTACCCTTTCATTGTACAATGAATAAAATAAATAACCTTAAAAAGTAAGAAGAAATAAGAATGAAAATACAAGTATTGTTATGGTATCGGTATCACCGACTTCCACTCAACAGAAACATGAACAATGAGTGAAACCAAAAATTATACAGATCTGAGATAAACATATTATTCCTCCATGTGAGAGGAGAGAAAACAAATAGTTTCAAAAATCTTGCAGGCAGAAAACTGAATGATACAAGCACCAAGAATTAGCCTATTTAGTACTTATTGTTGATAATGCTCCGATTTAGCCATTTCATTTCAGTTTGAAGTGGTCTCTAGGAGTACAATCCAAACAGACACAAATACACGAGCTCAAACATTCCACACCCAACCCACCCACAGAAAAATACAGAGGCTATTATTACTAAAAGTAGGAAAGTCTACTTGTGCATGGTCAAGTTAACAAACAGTAAAACAAAATGCGGAAATTTCAAAGAATGAGAAGGCAGTATAACAACTCTTCAACAATGAACCTTTTTGAAAATTTCTCAGTGGTATATCCATCCTCTGCACACTTGGAATTCTTTCTGACATCCAAATTTAAGTCCTCAAGCTTAGAGCAAGGTTCAAAATCAACAGGATGATCCCTGCTTCTGTTTACAGATGGTGGTCGAGCATTAATAAAAAAAAATATTACTAAAAGATACAATTCAGATGATATTAAAATATTACTAATGAAAAAAATGGATTGGATCAAAAAAAGAAAAGGGGAAGGGAAAAGAACTAAGAATATATTAATACCTTTTATGCAACGGTACAACCTTTTCACCATCTGAATCATCAAAAGGCCTTTGGGCAGGCGAAGAATTTATACATTGCTGATCATCATTAGCATCTCCTCTGCTGCAAAGGTTCTATACGGCATAAGATGGATGAAACAATCAGAATCAGGAAAGAAGGAAATAAAAGCATGCATCACATGAAGAAAATATCAAGAATAGTCAAGAAATGATACCATAATGGGAGCAAATCTGTAAAATGTTCAATGGCATGCAATTCTTCAAGAGTAATTATTATTTTGAAACAGTGATTTGACTATACTGTAGTAGTCTACTTTATTCATCTACTTTACTTTCCAAAATCTACAAAACCACTTATACAACAAGCTGCTTCCTTTAACATTGTTAGCAACTGACTTTCAAGAAATAAATCAGTCAGCAAAAGAACGAGATATGCCATAATTAAATTTACAGTAGTGTGGTACAAATGAGATAATAAATTCAATTGAATCTTTCACAAAAGTGTTTCAATAAACTCCACAATATCAGGAAGGTCTAAGGTGTTGTTCTGGGCTCCCATATGCTTCTCCAAGTAAGAAATGGATTTTTCCCAAGTTGGGACTCAATGAAAAAAAGACCCCTGGGAAATATTTGGCTTGGATGGTCAAATAACTTTGTCAGATTTTTATAGTTTTAAAATTCATAATTTTCCCCCTTAAAATATAGTTGTTCCAAACTTTGTTGTTGAAATGTACCACTTTTTGTCAAGGATAGAACTCACCATCCACTTTTTATTTCAATATAGTTGATGCTAGAGTCATGCTACAATTAAAAATGTTATTTGCTGAGTAAGAATTCTTCAGCCCAATTTTCCTTTGTAAATGGATAAACATGTTTTACCAAAACGATATTGGGAAAATGAACCAATAATCTTCCCTTAGCTTTCCACTTAATGCAATTAACAATATTAGCTCAACTAAAACTGTTTTTTTTACTTCATAAGTTTGCTACTGACTGTTTAAAGCTCCCTCATATATATAAGGGTCAACTTAATAACCAAAAACCATACTAAGAGGCACTGTTTTTTTTTTTCTTTTTTTCTTTTACATTCACTAAAAGACATCATTCTGAGCACTGATGTCCCACTACACATCATTCCTACGTTCCTAAAACCGTACCACAAACCAAGCATCTATGCCCAATTATTCAACGATCAATACTTAGGTTTCTACCACACTTTTTTTATGATTATGGATGAGTAACGAATTTGCGCAAATTATACATATTTCTTGTCACATCTACTTTTTAGAAGGAAAAAATAATTAAAACTCACTACATGAATCTCAATTTGTATCGCTTTGCTTGAATTAGAACAGTAACGCCCAAAAAATCAAATTTTCAGCCACTTCACATTAACTTGACCTCAAGCAGCGGTATACAAGAACTAGTTTTGAAATAAAAGACGATAGTTCCATTTTGACCTGTTTTCATAACCATGCCTTAAATATAGCCAAAAAAAGGAACGAAACCTGGATTGATATTAAAAAAAGAAGTAGTACCTCCAAGAAGCGGATGTGATAAACCGGCCTATTCTCCGGATCCTTCGCAGCTGCAAGTAGCTTCTGATGTAACAAAACATCTTCCACTCTCTCCATATTAACATCAAGTCCATAACTAAATTCAAAAAAAAAAAGAACAAACATTTCATCAGCTTTAACTTATCCTACTTAAAAATTCCTAAACTCTTCATAAAATACGTACAAAACAGATTGTACGGATAAACTATTCGTATAGGAATGAAAATTTTACCTGGCAGGCAAGCGATTGAAGTGGGAATCCAAGCGGTCGCGAAAGTCGGGGTTAGAAATAACTTCTTCATGGCCGGCTTCAAGCAAGCGATTGAAAACGTCGTTTCTGACATCGTGGTTATTAAAGCTACCGAAGCTTCTCGGCGGCGATGAACTCTCTCCGACTCCCTCAGTTAAATCCATCAACAATGGAATCTACTTCTTCTTCTTATTGTTTGTTTCTATTTCAGCATCGCATTAGGGGGGAAATTGTTGTGTTTTTTGGTTGATCAAAGTGTAGAGGATCTTTGACTAATAAAGGAATCTGAGGGGACAAAAATGGAGGGAGAATATGGTAGTTTTGAGAAACATTGGAGGACAACTTTGGAAATTCGGTTAAGTTTAGGAGAGGGAGAAAACATGGGAAGCGAATGCTGAGGTAAGAGGGACGGGTAGAAAATACAAGAGCATCGAAGTGGATAGGATTATCCAATTCCCTGGATTAAAATATTTTTGAAGTTACGGAAATACCCTTGTATAAGAAAGAGAATTTACGGCGACAGATTCAACGAGATGACGGAAAGGCCAGTTTGGTGAGACAAGAAAAAAAGTGTGAAAATATGTGGAAAGAGAAAATGCGGTGATATTATTATTATGACATGAACTCAAGCTGCGCGCGTTTTGGGTTTAGCCGATGCCTTGACCAGCAACTTCACATTCTGGTAGGATTCTCTATTCTCTGTTTCCATCACGCGCTATAAATTGAAACGAGACACCTGGCATTCTAGGACTGGGTGGGATCTATTTCGTTTGCTTTTGCAGTAACGCCTAGGATGAGAGCGACTGGGACACTTGTTCCCAAAATATGAATCTTACTTACTGTGCTTAATTTATAATTTAATCTTTAAATTATACTTTTTTAATTTTAGTATTTGAATTATCGTTTTTCATCGTAATTTATTTTAATAAGCAATGAAATTAAATGAAAAACCCATTGCTTTCCCATGGAAGAGCATTAGTGCCCGTACGTTTTCTAGGCTGGAGAAATACCCAACTGGTGTGTTTAATTTCACTAGAAACAATAACAAGCCACCAATTCCGTGTGGATAAGTTGTGGTGCCATAGAAATTTTCATTATTGGAGTTAATGGAGACAGTTGTGCATGGGCAATTCTGTTGAATTTAATAAATGTGTCTAACCGAACAATTTGACTGAAACCAAATGGTGATGCAATCTTACTATTGACTACTCTCAAGATAGATTCAAAATTCGGAAAGGGCACTCTTAAAGCTTTCCTGGGCCCAATAGATCCAATGCACTCACGAAAGAAAAGTTTGATCATTTTGGAGATTAATTTCTTATAATTTTGACGTGTAAAAAGCAAAGGCTTGAGAATCGTTCTTTTTGGAGATTAATTTCTTATTAATTTGTAAATTATATTTTGATATTTTTTAAAGAAAATAATAATATATTCAAGTTTCAGGTTAATTTATATAATTATTTTAAAAAATAAAGTATAAAATTATCTTTAATACGAAAAAGTAACATATACCTACGTTAAGGGAGATGTGTATTGCATAAACAAATATATATCAAACAAAACTCAGATATGAGAGAGAGAGAGAGAGAGAGAGAGAGAGAGACTTGGTTAACCTAACCCTAATCGCAGACCTCACCGTTGGTGCTTTCCCTAACACGGCTCTCAACCATCCGAACACCAGCAAAGCCAAGCTCACTGAACCCATCATTGCGCCTACTCTCACCTCATACTCCTTTACGAACGATGCAATCAACGGAATCATCGTCCCCACCGAAAACCAAAGTGCCAAAGCTGCCGATGCTTGTAAAGGGTTCGGTAATGATTCATTTTCTCCTCCTTTTCTTTTCCCCTTATATCCAATCCAAGGACGAGTCATAACTTAATTTTAATAGAGGGAGAACTTTAACGATTTTAATTTTTTTATAAAATATAAATAATACATCAAAATTACATATTAGTTCTATCATTTGTATAAAATATCAAGTAGAAAATTAAAAATAAAATTAAAGTAAATAATAAAAAATTGTACGATTTTAAAAGTTGTCTAAGATATAACTATCATATAATCATAATAAAACACGTCGTCCATTTAAATTGTAACACTCCAACCCGTACCCGACCCGGATACGAATCCGAATGTCTCATTAACTTTTACAGATGATATTCTTACAAAATATCAAAACATTTGAACTCATTTTAAGAAAATACCACAATATTCTATTAAATTATGTTTCGGTATAAAATTCAAGTCAAATACGTATTTGTGAACAATAATATATGTATGAACATTACCGTGAACAGTGAAAAATTTCGAATATAAATTGTGTATCGATGCACTGCTACAATACTGGTACAATAACTTTCGTAAAAATACATATAAACTCGTAAAAAAGTAATTGTTCGTTACTATACATTTACTATGTACATATTTACTTTAAAACATTACAAAATTCAATCATATGATTTTACAAAATCGATTAGAGCATATCGGATTCAAATCTTTATTTACATGTCAACCACTATCCTTATTGCAAAATACATATTATACATTTCTTTTCTGATATGATCTTTAGAAAGGAGGAACTGACTTGTCTTGCATAACTTTTATCAATTTTCTTCTTCTTGGAACCTACGTGTGAAACAATCACACGTTAAGTCATAGACTTAGTGAGGCATATAAACATATAATAAAAATCATAGAACATTTCATTTAGTAAATTACATACATGCACATATACTATCATATTTCTATTCATATATCAAATCCACACATATACATATATGATTATCTTCTTCCTTATCGTTATCCTATTATTATCATTAGTACATTTTATCATATAATCATATACTTATCATTTATACACCTCATATATCATTTCATAAAGAAATACACTTAACACCATATACTTCATGTAATACAATTCATATAACTAAAACATATATTCTTTCATATAACCAATATATGAATCCTGTAACTTATTCCATATAATAAATCACACATGCATATCACATTCAGTATATTTGTTTAATCTCTTTATTAGCCCATATACACCAGTGATAACTTAAGGTATGTGAGTACATTGAGGTTGTGCACTATTATGCTGTCACCACAGCTCGTATAATTATCCCGAAAGACCTATCCAGAGGTCATAAAGAACCTCGGTAACTGTCTATAGGTCCCGAAGAACCTAGGTAAATTGTCCATATGTTTCTTAGAATATAGGTATACTATCAATATGTCTAGAAAGACATAGGTAATTCTGTCTATATGTCCCGAAAGACATGTAATTATGTCAATATGTTCCATAGAACATAGGTAAACCCTCGACTCTGGGCATGCCAACTATACCACTATCTCTCATATCACATAACATGAGCATTATCATTTATATCATTTCACACATTCACATGCATATTTCACTTTTCATATTATTTCATAATTATATATCACTTTGCTTATAACACTTCTCTTGTGTTCATATGACATGTAAATCATTGTCATCTCTTGTTCTCATATGATTCTCATACATCACATATATCACATTCATATCACATATTCATATAGGCTCACGGTTTTTATCACCTATCATGACATTTCACATAAATCATGTAACTCAAATATTTTTCATATAACCATTTCATGCATACACACATACATGTCATCTTTTATGTTTTTATCATACTCTTATAGTATTATCTTTCATCTTTCTTATCTCTTGTTCATATAATCTCTTACACATATCACATATTCCTTTTCTCCTATTTTATTCTCAAATGTTCACATAACTTGGATCAAATATACATATAGTCACATAAATCATTTTTTCTTAGCTTATATCAACTTTTCATGTCATTTCACACTTCTTGTTACATTGTTTATATCTTATTCTTATGTCTTTTCATATACATATATTCACATATACATATCATTTCATTATTCTTATTATTATTCTTATCATCACCATTAATCCAGTTTTCTTACCATATTCATATCAATAACACATACATATATCATTACAAACATATCTAACTAATGTGCACTCACCTTAGCCTTGCTTTGTTTCGATCCTAATTCTTTGATTGTTTTAAAACTCGTTTAGGCTCAATATCTACATAAACATAATTTCCGAAGCAATTATCAAAAGCCTAAACCTTATAACTTGGTATTAATAACTTAGGCTATTTAATGAACCAAAATTCCATTTTTCCTTTAGGGGTGTATCGATACACTATGGGTGCATCGGTACACAAAATAACTTCGAAATTCCCATGCATCGATGCACTCCTTAATGCATCGATGCATCTTCAAATTTTGTCTTAGTGCATCGGTATACACTCATAGTGCATCGATGCACCTGCCCAGAATAGGTTCTTTCATCCGAAAATCATCAACACTTCACATAAATTTTCATGTATAAAACCTTTATTATGTTACTAAATACATCTATAACAACTTTAACCAATTCCTATCATTCAACATCTTATAATCTTCCATATTTCATCCAAATTCTTAAGGCTAAAATTCATACCAAATTTTTCATGTTATCGAAACTTTGATTTAACACTTATAACTTCTCATTCACACCTATGACAAGTCAAATTTAGTTTCAAATTCAACTTATCAACTCTTTTCCAAAAATTCACTTAAAACCCATTTTCTTTAACTTTTCATAACTTCTTCATCTTTTGATTTTAAGATAACTTAAGCTTTCCTTAAGCTTAATTATCATCTAATGATCAAAACTCAAACTTTAAATTAAAAATAATCAACAAACAAAGAAACTTTTACCTTTTCTTGAGCTTTCACGTGGAGAAGATAAGAAGATGAAGAAGAGAATTGCTTGGAAACTTATCTCTTCAATCATTCTCCACATGGGTATTATAATACCCAGTAATTATTATTTAATTATTTTCCTTGTTCAATTACTCATTTGCCATTTGACTCCTTTAATATTTACTAACAACTTTTAGGAAATTTCTCCACATAAATCATTGAACTATTGAACTATTCTACTTTTATCCCCAAATTCTAAAATTTTACAATTTAGTCACTAACCCTTAATTTGGGATGTTACATAAATCTTGAAATGTATCCACAAGTAATATTGTACTAAATCTACTAAAATTAAATATAAGATCAAACAACTCCAATTTATAACTATAATTTTTTTTGAATAATTTATGTTCATTCCATATAATATCTAAAAGGAAACAACAAAGTTGAACAAAGAATCAAACAACACAGGAACCGCCTACACAAACCAGCTACACAATAATCCTACCAACCATAACAACAAATCAAAGGATCCTCACTCAAGACAAACCGCGATATCGGAGACGAGCCAGGAATGGTCGTTAGTGGACACCACCACTT